ATTCAGGCTAGACTTGAACTCACTTTGTAACCTAAGCTGGCCTTGAATGCAGCAATATGCCTGCCTTAGCTTCCTGAGTTCTGGGATTACAGGTATGTGCCACCATGCCTGGCTTGATTTTTAACAAAAGTACCAAAGTAATTACATATACATCCAAATAGAATAATTTATACCTTGGTTCATCCTATGCCAAAAAATTAACTCAAACTGGATTATACACCTAAATATGAAAGACAAACCGTAAAGCAATCAGAGGAAAATAGAAAATCTTTGTGACCATGGGTGAAACAAAGATTTTTTTGTATTTAAGAAGAATTTTGGGACTGGGGATTTAGCTCAGCGGCATAAGCACCTACCTTGCAAGCCTGTGGTCCTGAGTTCGATCTGGTACCGGTAAAATACAAAAAAAAAATTTCATTGCTACATTTTAGATACGCATATTGATAATGCTCATCATGGAATATGTCCCTGCTTTTTTCTCATTCCCTGCCCTTCCCCTCAGCCCCTCTTCCCACCCTTACACATACAGCTTTGTTTCAATGTTTGCTGTCTGCTCTTGTTTTTCCTTGTACCTTCTTTCCTTCCCTCCTTTCCCCTCCTTTGTTCCATCCCATTCCCATTTGAACATTTTCTTCCCATTTCCCAATATCTATTACACATTTTGGCTCTTATTTATACTTTTGTTTTTCATACCAAAGGCAAAGATATTTTAGATATGATAGGATCTTAATGAAAGAAAAATGTAGCTAGTGTGGTATGTACACCTGTAATCCCAGCACTGGAGATGGTGAGGCAGGAGAATTGCTGAGACTTCAAGGCCAGCCTGGGCAATGGAGCAAGATTATGTCTCAGTAGATAAATAAATAAGACAATCAAAATTTAATAAAAACTTTTTGAGACAAGGTCTTGCTTTGTTGTTCAGGCTGGACTTGAATTCACAGCTGCCCTCCTGCCTCAGCCTCCTGAAAACTGGGGTTACCTGTGTGCCACCACACCCAGCTTATCAAAATTTAACAAAACTTTTGTACTTTGAAGACAGTGCTAATGAAAAGACCACACGGACTTGGGGAAAATGTTTGCAAACATATATCTGATAATGCTTTTATCTAGAATGTATAAGGAACTTTTTTTGTATAAAGAACTCTTATACCCTGATAGAACATAACTAACCCAGATAAAGAGGCTGACACATTCAGGAAGATGTTTCTCCAAAGAAGATAAAACAGCTAGGGACATAGCTCAAGTGGCACCTGCTTAACTAGCAAGCATGTGGTCCTGAGTTCAATTCCTAGTACACACACACACACACACACACACACACACACACACACACACACGTAGTAAAAAAAATATAAAAAGAGCCATTTCTATATAAAAAGACATATTTCTATTCCCAGGGAAATGAAAATTCATTTGGCAGTGAGCTGCTGCTATCACGCACACTTAGCGCCCCAGCTACCTTAGGAGTATTTGAAGGTGCCAGGAACGTGGTTCAAGAGCAGAGCACAACCCAAAGTGAGCAAGCCCCCAGGTTCAGTCCCAATACTGGAAAAAAAAAGGGGGGACACATGTACATTTGCAGAATTCCCAATGTGATGGTGAGTGTAGACATAATGTCCCCAACACACATAGAACATTCACCAAGCAAAAAATACATCCTGGATGATGCAACAAACCTCAGTACAAAAAAAAAAAAAAAAAAAAACCTCGGGCTGGGGATTTAACTCAGCAGCATAAGTGCCTGCCTTGCAAGCAGGCAGTTGTGAGTTCGATCCCTGGTACCGATATAAAACAAAACAAAACAAAACAAAACAAAAAAAACTCAGTGCACTTAAAGACACACAAAGTATGTTCCCAAGCCACATTAAAAGTGAAGTAAAAATCACAAGCATGGTGACACACACCCGTAACCCCAGTACATGGGAGGCTGAAGCAGGAGGATCGCTGAGAGTTCGAGGCCAGCCTGGGCTACAAACCAGGACCCTGCCTCAAAAAACAAAACAAAATAAAGTAAAAATCAATCGCTGAAATATACCTGGAAAATCTCATCACTCAGGAGGCGGAAACAGGAGAATTACTCCAAATTGGAGGCTATCCTGGGGTATATAGTAAGTTCAAGAGCACGATGGAATACATAGTGAGGCCCTGTCTCAAAAAACCCCAGAAAATTTCCAGATGTTTCTAAAGTAAACAACATATTTCCCAACAGCCCACACATCAAAGAATTCAAATAAAATTAGAAAATACTTTTCCCCTGTTGGGGATTACAGATTCTAAATTGAGTTCTGAGGGCGTCCAAAGTCCTCCTTGTCCTGCCCTGTGAGTCGGACTCAGAAACACCTCGCTCTCTCCGGGTCACAGCTGAAACACAGCTGCCGTGGTGCCATGGGGCAAGAGAAGCCTGCTGCGGACAAGGCCCAGCGGTGGCAGCAGGGAGCTCTACCTCATTGGCCACCCTCTTGTCCTCCCCAGAACACCTCGCTCTTTCCCCCAGCCCTAAGCAATCACCACCCTGCTCTGGAATGGCAGGTACCCTCCAGAAATGTGTGATGTGCCCAGGCAGCCCTGGGCCAGCCCAAAGAGTCCTTGTCTTTGCCCCTCCTTGTCTTTGCACTGACCTCTCGGCTCCTTTCATGCATTACTAAATTGCTAGCTCTTATTTCAGCAGCCTTCTCAGTACCCCTTGCACAGCAGCTGGAGACCTTGGCCAGGTCCCCAGTGTTACCCAGTGAAAATTAAAGAAACACTGCATGGAAACGGGTGAGTGCTTATGCCGCTGAGCTAAAATCCTGGGCCCGGTGACCGTGCTTTGAAAAGTCTCCATCCCTACTCCACCTGGGTCCTCGCTGAGGAGAACCAGGCTGCCTCAGGGTCAGACTGTAAACTTGGGAGTTGTTCTAGGTTCCTCCCCCTTCACATTACCTTCCTTGCTTTGTCTCCTCCATATCTTTTTCTACTTTGTTCTTTCTTTCTTTGAGACAGAGTCTCACTATATCTCAGATTGGCCTTGAACTCATTGTGTAGCCCAGGCTGGCCTCCACTCCATAGCAATTCTTCAAAGACAAGAAGTAGCAGCCATGTATTTAGCCACCGCCCATTCCCATCACTCTCTGTGCCTTTATTCCACTATGTTTTTCTAGAGACTCAAGCACACGAGTGTTCCAAGGTGGAACAAAGTCCAGGAATCTAACTCAGTCACTCTGTACCTAGCCCTGCAGTGTCCTGCGCAGAGCGGCAGGGCCAGGCCCTGTGTGTTAATGTGTGGCCTCCAAGTGGCGGGAAGGTAGAATGTGTACGTCAGCGAGGAGGCCTCCATGATGCAGCCCGCAGATGCAGGACATCTGCACTCATGGTTCCTGCTGTCTCTCACCCTGGCTCCTCTCAAACTGGCCTCCTTTGGAGACAGGTAGCCAGAGATGAGTGCTGAGCTCCCCACTGGGGATTCCCCTTCCAGAGTGGGACCTGGCCGAGATTCTAGGGAAGAAGCTGATTGGTCTGCTTGGGTCACTTGACAACCCTGGCCAAGGGACAAGGTTAAGCAGGAGCTGTGTCTATGATCACCAGCTCTTCCTAGGACTTGGAGGTGGAAGGGGGAAGCAGGGTTTCAGGTGGGGATCCCCACCAAGGGAACAGGGGGGTGCAGGCAAGAACACCCAGAGGGCAGCCCAGGCCTCCTAAGTCCTCAGCCTCCTGGGCCCCAGCCCTCCTGGGCCTCCCCGACACGCGAGGTCGAAGCTTCCTGCAGCAGAAGCCTCCCTGCTATGGGGGCCGTGGTGGAACCCGCAGGCTCTGAGCCCGGCAAGGCCTGCTCCCTGCGTGCACCACAGCGACCTCTCCAAGGGGCCCGGAACAAAGGCGTGAGGACCGAGGTCCGGGAGCCAGACGTGCCACCCCAGTGTGCAGGGCTGGCATAAACGGTCCCCAGGGCCGATCTCGGGTTCCAGCTGGACAGCGAGTGGCGGCTCAGGCTTTAGGGCCAGCAGGGGCTGCCCTGCACTCCACGGGGTGACGGGACACCCTCCCCCTCACGACCTCCCGAGGCTGCTGCTCCTTCCGGTGCGCTCCCCACTCCGGAAAGGTGAGGGGCTGGGGCTGCAGTGTGCAGCAGGCGTGAACTCCCAAAACTGATGCCCCTGCACCATGACAGGCCGGGATGGGAGGTGGGCAAGTGCCACTGTCCCTGCTCCTCGGGCTCTAGGGACAGTGACCTGACAGGCTGGTGCTGCTCGGGGCAACGCTGAGGTGTGAGACCACCCAGCTTTGTCCCTGGTGGGGGCTTTTGCAGTGGAGTCATTGGAAATGGTTGCCATTGGAAATGATGATGTCACTACAGGGGCGGAGTTTCAGCTCTCCCGTGAGTTGGGAGGGGGCGGGGGACCTCAGGAGGAGGAGGGAGGCGCCGGGAGGGCCTGGGCTCACTCGGAGAGGGGCTGCAGAGGGCAAGAGAGGAAGGACCCGCGCTGCTGAGCGCTGGGCTGCCCAGCATCCAGCGTAGTTCAGGCCCCAGCTTCTCTAGTCTCGCTAAGGTCTTGGCCAGTTTTGAGTCCTAGGCGCTCCTACGTGTGGAGCATCAACCTTCACCCCTGCTATTCCTACCCTCACGGTAGGAAGGGGCCAAGCCGAGGGACCAAGCAGATAAGGCCTCGACCACACTTTTGAGTCTTGGGGAGGGGGAGCCTCAGCGCCCTCTCATCCCCGCAGAAGCATCGCTTAGGGCGTCTCCGCACCCCTGCGTCTCCGGAAGAGCTGGTCCCAAAATACCACTGGCTATGGGCGAGGCCGCGCGCCCGCGCCCGCACAGGCGCGACACGCATCCTTTCAGTCGGACCCCGTGGGCACAGGTGTCACAGTGACACGGACCCCGGGAACCCCCGCCCCAGCTCAGTCCCGGCGGGTGGGAGACAGCGTACACCGCTCGCGGTGCCAGGACCCCCGCAGGCCCGCGCGCACACGCGCACACGCGCGGGCGCCCCCGATCACGCGGACGCAAGCGCGCGCCCCCTCTCTCAGCGTCGGGAAGCGGGGGCGGCGGGGGGACGCAGCGCCCCGATCGCGGGCCCGCGGCTGCCGCAGTCTCCGCAGCGCCGGCCGCGGGCGCGCAGCAGCGAGTCCTCTCCCCGCCGGACTCCGGGTTCAGCACCGCGGACAGCACCGGGCGAGGCGCCCCCTACGCGTACAGGGGCCTGCACCGAGCACGCCACCGCCCGCCCCCCCAGGCTCGCGCGGCCCGAGCCCATGAGCACCATGCGCCTGCTGCCCCTCGCCCTGCTCTTCTCCTGCTCCTTCGCCCGCGCCGCCTGCGACCCCAAGATCGTCAACATCGGCGCGGTGCTGAGCACGCGCAAGCACGAACAGATGTTCCGCGAGGCCGTGAACCAGGCCAACAAGAGGCACGGCTCTTGGAAGATTCAGCTCAACGCCACCTCTGTCACCCACAAGCCCAACGCTATCCAGATGGCCCTGTCGGTGTGCGAGGACCTCATCTCCAGCCAGGTGCCCAGCAGCCCCCGTCCTCCCCCATCCCGCTCCCCCGCTGCATCCCATCCTTTCTGGTCCTCTCTCTGCCGCAAAGAGGCGGCCCCAAGCCCACCAGTTCCACCTGGACGGGCCAGTGTCATTGGGAGCCAGACACCAGCGTCTGCGGTCCCCGTCTGAGCCCCATCCTGGTCACTGGCCCCTAGGCTGGTCCTAAGGGGTGTGGGATTCCAGGCCCTGGCTGGTGCGTGGCTGGCATTGGTGCTGCTGCGCTGGGTCAGTGGGGCTGGGGACTCGTGAGGGCAGAGGGCACGGGGTGGAGGGGCTCAGACAGCACGGGGTCCGAGGCCATCTTTGTTTCTGCTTCTAGGCTCCCTTCCCCCCTCCAAAGGTTACGGGAGATGAAGTGCTGAAGCGGGGCGGGGTGGGGCGCAGGAGCCGTGGGGAGGATGGGGCCGGAGTCATCCCCCAGCTGAACCCCCCACTGCTGAACCCCAAGGCAGCCAGGGGTTCCTGTGCTGCAGTCCTCCTGTGAGAGCAGCAGAGAGAGAGCCAGGTCTCACACGCCTCTGCTGGGCACACACACTCACACTCACGCCCACATAGGCACCAGCACAGACTTGTGCACCCAGCATCACAGGCAACCACACATGCACATCCAGGCATGCGTTGCTGGGTTCACACCACAGACACATACGTGCCCATCCAGCAAATCCCTGTGAGCCCGTGGACATCATCAGTCTGTGGCTCTTTTCTAGGCCCCTTTGAACACAGGGTGGAGGTGAAAGCTGGGGTGGGAGGGCAGCCCAAAGGTTCCACATCGAGGGACCATGCCAAAATTCTGCTCAAAAGACTCCCTAACCACCAAGCAAGCACCATGGCACACAGCTGGGTGAGGCAGCTGCAGTTTATTTCTGTCACATGTTCCACCCAGGCGGTAGTGGGACATGCAGGGATGAAGTCGGAGTCCAGTTAGGGCCCTGGGGGAGTCCCAGGCACTTGCTCATGCGCAACCCGCAAGCACCCAGTGCCAGGGCGAAGCAATGACTACAGCTGTCCCTGCATGCAGCCCTCATCCCACCACCCCGGGCCCCAGGACAGAAGCTGGTGGCACCTGTGGTTGCTGGGGTGAGGGTGTATCCCCCATGTGGGCATGTGGCCTTGGCAGGGGCTGAGGAGAGAGAGGGGCCTCCAGGGAGCTCAGTCTCAGGCCCTGGTGGTAAATGGTCAGCACTCAAAAGCCAGGCTACACCCTATTGCAAACTGACTTGTGCCCAGTTTCTGGGGACACTAGCAAGAATGGCCACAGGCTTCTGTGGTGACTCTTGGGTGACCTCCTCTCCTCAGACCTTCAGGTTGCTGGCCTGGGTCTCAGTCCTGGCCTCCACCCTACCATGTGCTGGCTCCCAAGAGAGGGACACAGATTGGTCTCAAGTCAGCATGGAACTGAGTCAGCTGTCTCCCAATTCTGTCCCAGCATGCCCCAGGGATATCACCTTCCCTCAGGGTCTCCTGACCCACTGCACATAGCCCTCAGGGCCCTATAGGTATGAATGTGTGTCATCCTGGGCCCTGGTGTCCTACCTGGCCAGCCTCTACAATGGGTTTCTGATCAGAGAATGGTGACATGCCATGGGTATCTGTGACTGTGTGTGTACCCAGGGAGCCACTGGGCCTTCCCCCAACTGACCCTGTCTCCTGTGTCTGCAGGTCTACGCCATCCTAGTTAGCCACCCACCTACCCCCAATGACCACTTCACACCTACACCAGTCTCATACACAGCTGGCTTCTACCGCATTCCTGTCTTGGGGCTGACCACCCGAATGTCCATCTACTCTGACAAGGTAAGCCTGACTTTGAGACTGGGGCCCAGCTAGCTCCCTGTCCTTGTGTTGGGCCCTGGGTGGACCACAGCAGTGGCTGGTGTCCCAGGCTCATCAGGACCAAGCTTGGCTGCCCAAAAGGATCATCAGACAGTGCACACACTCAGATAAACTCACACGTACCACACATTTATCGTCCTGCTGGCACCTGCACACATCACCAGCACTTTAAACATGCTACCCTTCCACATCACTCCCAGGCATGCACACACATGCCCTCGCACATGTCACCACACTCATGCACATATATGCTGTCCACATCACTCCCAGGCATGCACACACATGCCCTCGCACATGTCACCACACTCATGCACATATATGCTGTCCACTCACTCAGATGTACACAGGACCCACACTGGAGCACATACATGCCCCACTCATGCTGCTCACACACATGTACACAGTGCCCCCTACAGTCACCTCACTCCACACTCATACACACACATCATCTACACTCATGGATCCACACGCCCCACATACAAACCACACTCATGCACATAACATGCCCCTCAGCATAAGCCACTCATCCACATGCGTGACACATGTCACCCACAATCACCTACACATGTGCCTATGTCATGCACCCTCCTGTATGCACATATCACCCCCACCCATATATACAATGCCCCATGTGTGTAACATCATAGACATGCACACTTGTATGTCACCTGCACACAAGTACACACATGCCCCTCCACACCACATATCATTCACGTGTGCACACATGCTTTCCACCCCAGTCACACTCATACATACATGCCCTCTGCAAGCCACTCACACTCATGCACGTGCATTCCCCCACTCATGACCCCACATATCACCCACACCTATGCACACACATCACACACATTCATGCACATGTATGCCACAGACTCATACATAAGCACACACACTCATGCATACCCACATGCACTTAGTCACATACACACATGTACTCACACACACATGCATCCCCCACACTTAAGTCCTATGTAATCATATCACACCACACACTCACATCCACAGCACCCCCTCACAGTGGTGGCCTCCCGCACACATGCACTCACCTGCTCATGAGTAGTGGCCTGCTAACCCTCAGGGGAAGACAAGCAAAGAATGGGAGGGGCTGGAGATTTAGCTCAGTGGCATAAGCGCCTGCCTTGCAAGCAGGCAGTCGTGAGTTCGATCCCCAGTACCGATAAAAAGGGAAAAGGAAAAAGACAAAACAAACAAACAAACAAACAAACAAACAAAAAAGAATGGGCAGGGAGGTTTCCTGAACAGAAGAAGGGACTTCAGGGTGGTAGAGGTGGCCTTGGTGAGAACTGGTGTCTAAGGTGGTCAGAGAAGGTGGCTCGTGGCAGCAAATGGGGCGGTTCCAGGTCTCAGAGGCTGAGGCCACTGCCCAGCAGCCCTTGTGGCCTGAAGCAGCTGGAGGAGCAGAAACTGCAGTCTAGAGAGAGGCACAGGAACCTGCTACAGGTCACACAGCACTTGAGTCCATGATTCTGGGAGAACTCAGCAGCTGGCCACCAAGAAGCCAGCAAAGTGTCCTAGCCTGCTCAGGGCCACCTGCAGGCAGGTGGGGACCACTTGCCAGGGGATATTCAGAGAGCTGTTTGGGCTGAGACAAGGGCTGGTCTTCCAATATCCTGTCCTCTTCCAGCCCTGCATACAGAAAAAGCTGCCCTAAGATGCTAGGCATGGTGGCACATCAGGAGTTACAGGCTGGTCTTGGCATCAGAGTGAGTTCAAGGTCAGCTTGAATTACATAATGAGATCCTGTCTCAAAAAACCCAAACCTGGGCTGGGGATTTAGCTCAGTGGCATAAGCGCCTGCCTTCCAAGCAGGCAGTCCTGAGTTTGATCCCCGGTACCGAAAAAGACAAAAAAAAAAAAAAAAAAAAAAAAAAAACCAACAAAAAAAACCCAAACCTGCCAGGTGTGGTGGTGCACACCTGTAATCCTAGAACTTGGGAGGCAGGCTGAGGCAGAATTGTCAGAGTTCAAGGCCAGGAGTTCAAGGGTGGGCTACATGAACAAGTTCAAAACTAGCCTGTCTATATAGTGAGACCCTGCCTCAAAAACAAAATAAAACAAAACAAAACCCTAAGCTAAACAATGGCAGTCATCAAGGTTGACCCACCCAGCCAAGGCACATCAGAGGGGACTTGGGGTAGGACGTATGCCCTTGGTGAGGGGAGAGGGAGGCCAGGCTCCTGCAGAGTGATTATGTTCTCAGAGGGAGGACCCTGAGAGAAGGATCAGGTGGGAGACTGGAAGCCAGAATCCTGGGTGCCCAAAATGCTCCTTCCAGGTGACTACCCCACCCTACACCCAACACACAGAGCTCTATGACTACCTCCTGACCCCTCCTGGGCACCAGTGTCTTTATGTACAGAGGAAAGGAAAATGGTCTCACAGAGGAAGCTGGGAAGGGGCAAATGAGAGGCTAGGGGTCAGATACTGGTCACAGACCAACACCATATGCCTGTCTGAGACCAAACACCATGGTCACACCTGGCCCTAGTGTTACAGCAACCAGCCAGTTCCTGCACAGCAAAATCCTATCAGAGTTAGTCCAAGACCCACCCTGCAGTCCATCCCGCAGCATGTCTTGGAAGCATCAAGAGGAAACCAGGAAAAATAACAGGAGCCCTCAGAGGACCACAAGATCAGTGTGGATCTAGTGCTCGCCTGGGGAGACTCCAAGTCTCCTACCAGCTGGTGACCACTAAACAGTGAGGGAGCAAGCTGGCCCTTGTAGCCTCTGGACTCTGGTGAAGAGATAGTACACTCACTTGGGTCCCCTACTGCAGACTTCAGTATTAATCAGCTTTTCACTGCTGGGACAAGATACTGAGATGGACAACTTGAAGGGCAAAGAGTTTGACTCACGGTTTTAGAAGAGTCAGCCCATGGTCAGCTGGCTCCAAGGCAGGGACATCATGGTGGAAAGGCATGGTGAAGGAAAACTGCTAATCTCATGGCAGGGAGGAAGCAGAGAGGGTGGAAAAGAGCCAGGAAGAAAGGAAGGAGCTGGGAACAGGATATTCTTCTTTATGGTCACCCCTCCTCAAGTGTCCTCCAGCTAGGCCCACCTCCCATCAGTTTGTGGAGATCTGACTGAACTCCACAAGAACCAACCCATTAACTCAGTCTTTGGAGGACACCCTCGTATTCACCATAACAACCTCGTAATAAACAGTTATTGACGTGTAGGAGAACTCGACAGGACTCCACTCCAGTGGAGTCTTGGACTGTCCCGAGCCCACGCAGTCTAATGAGAGGTCAAACTTTGGGAGACGGTGAGCTCCATCCAGGGGCTTTCAGAGAAACACTCCTCAGAGCAGATGACTGGGGAGGAGGCGCGCAGTGTGTGTGTGTGTGTGTGTGTGTGTGTGTGTGTGTGTGTGTGTGAAAGTGGAAGTCTGCAGCTTCCTCAGCACCCCCTGCGCCCCGCAGAGCATCCACTTGAGCTTCCTGCGCACCGTGCCGCCCTACTCCCACCAGTCGAGCGTCTGGTTCGAGATGATGCGCGTGTATAGTTGGAACCACATCATCCTGCTAGTCAGCGACGACCACGAGGGCCGGGCGGCGCAGAAGCGCCTGGAGACGCTGCTGGAGGAGCGCGAGTCCAAGGTGAGCGCGGTGGCGGGCGCCGAGCCCGCGGGCCGCCTGTCTGTGGCTCGTTGTGACACTCTCTCTCCATCCTGCATGCTCAGCACCACGCGTCTGGTGGCGCCCGCCCCGGCCTGTCCTCGGCTCATTTCACTCGCTTTTGCCATTAGTCGAAATCTCCTTCGTGTCAGTCCCTGCGGGGCCAGGGCCGCACCACCTGGAGCTCCGCAAACACCCCGCCCCGCCCACCGTGTGCAGAACACGCCCACCGAGGCTCGGGCACGCCTATTGCAGCGCAGGTTCCTTAACTCCTAGCAGGCCCCGCCCCCGGAGGCACCCCGCCTACCGCGTGTGGGACACGCCCACCGCAGCGCTAGTTCATCACGTAGCAGGTCCTGCCCCTGGATTCCCCCCAACCTTGTGCGAGGCTGGACCCGCACCCTCCAGACAGCCCGCCCACTATGGCGCAGGACACGCCCCCTCGGGCTCAGGCCCCTTCCCTGCTAGAGTGGTTCTTTCGCTGCCAGGCTGCATTCTTGTCCTCACAGAGGCCTTGATTCTTCAGCTGCCCCTTGCTTCCCAGATGCCCACCACTCACACCAAAGGCCCCTCCACGGACACCTCCGCTCTACTCCCGCCTCTCGGAGTGCTTACTCCGGTGCCCTGCCCCTCCTTTCTTCCCACCCCTCCCAGAGCTGGGCTGCCAGCACCTCTTGGGACCTGAATCTCCCCCGCCCCCCGGGGCACACTGACACCCAGCCCACTCCAGCCCCAACTTCGTAGGGCTGCTAGCAACAAGAGCAGGACTTTCAGGGGTCCCAGCGACCCCTGCCCCCTTCCATGCTCATCCCTATAGCCAGGCCGAGGAGCCACTGCTCTGGATGCTTCCACCCAGCCCAGGGCCCTGGGCAGCAAGCCCCATGTCCCGGCAGGCGGAGAGGGAGGAGGCCTGGGCTGGTGGGGAGGGGCCCTGGGGCCAGAGGAGGGCGGGGCGGGAGCATGTTTCGTGCGGGGTCAGAGTTGGCTTCATCACATTTTTAGCCTCACCCCGGGAACCCCAAGGCACCACAGGCCTCCAGAGGGAGTAGAGGGTACTGGTGGGGGGCAGAGGCAGACCCAGAGGGTCCTGGGAGGTTGCCAAGTCGGGGGTGGGGGGGCTGGCTAAGTACTCAAGGCTGACAGGGTCCCCATTTCCAGTGCCTAACAGGCAGCTTCCCTTCCTTCTGTGCCTATCCACAGCCACACAGACTCCTGGCACACATTCACACTCATTTGCACACCCAGTGTGCTTGTACACTGCTACACACACACTCCCTGTATACTCCACACCTCCCAGACACAGTCAGACCCCACCTGTATGGGCCCCACCAGGGCACGGATGCTTGGATGCACACAATTGCCTTTTGTGAGCCCACACACACTCATTTGCACCCATCAGCTCACACACACACACACACACACACACACACACACAGCCACTGAGTGCTCCCACATATGTTCCAACCCCGGCTTCCTCCCTCCCCGGACCTTCCTCCATCAGACTCCTGCAGACCCCTGCAGATGCCCACACACATCGCCTGTGGTCACACATCCCGCCGTGCTCATACGTGGGCACACTTGTGGGCCAGAGGGCACGGGTATACCAGTTAGTGAGGAGACTATCTCTGCCCCAGGTGAAGTGGGAGGGAGGAGAAGTGGGGTAGCAGGGACATGGAGACAGGCCCTGGGGGCTTCTTGTGTCCTGCTTAAGACTGATCATGGGGGTGGGGTGCTATGGGGCCACACACCAGATGCATGACGGGCTGGGGGTGGCAGACGGGACCCCTAAGGGTGGATGTGGACAGGGCCTCCCTTCTCCCCGAGCCACTGTCTTCAGGCGTCCAGCTCTGTGAAGGGAGCCTCTGTGGCGCCAGCCCATGTTCCCCCACCCCAGCTCCACCTGGCCCCCATCCCACCCCGGGCCTCGGTGTTTGCGAGCTCCAGGTACATGCCCGTCTGCAGACGTGCCGAGGAGGTGGTGTGATTGCTTTAGCGCCGTCATTTTCAACCGTTTATAATCTTCTTCTGTGTCTGCATATTTTCTCTGTGCACATTATTCATCAGAGTAAAAAAAGGAACTATGAAAACCTCGACCAACTGTCCTATGACAACAAGCGCGGACCCAAGGTATATATGCATGGACGTGCACGCCACCCACGACTAGCAAGCCCCGGCCTGTGGTGCCTCAGCGGTGAGGGCCGCCATCAGGCCCAGCTGCACGGAGCCACAGGGCTGAGCAGTGAGGACAGCTAGGTCAAGGCAGGCAACAGGCAGGCAGGAGAGGGCAGGCTGGGCGGTGTGGGTGCCCGTGACCCACCCGCTACGGCCCTGGCCTGCATCCTTGAGGCAGGCACAGACGCAGGAGGAGCTGCTCTCTGGGAAGTGCATGCGAATCTGCAGGACCCCCGGGTTTCCTCGTGGAACGCCAGGAGGGAGCCCAACCACCTGGCTGCCCGCCAGGGCCCAGGCTGCTCCTGCAGGGGCCTGAGGACTCGGGCCGAGCTGAGAGAATCTCCCGTGGTTTTGGAAAAGTCGGCCCCATCTCTGTTCCCGATTGCATTCCAAAACTTTTCTACTTCCTGTCCGCTGCACGTCTCTTTCTGAGTCTTGGTCCACTCCAGCTTGCATGCTCAGTGCAAAAATGAGGCCAGGAGTGAGAACAAAGCAGAGATGCAGAGAAAGCAGAACAGAGCAGAGTGACTGCAGGAGAGCCAGCAGGCCAGAGACAAGACAGGAGCAGGGCCAGGCCAGCCAGGAGCCAGGAAGGCAGGTGGCAGTGCAGGTGGCAAGTGCAGGCCAGGCAGCCCTAGCTAGGCTGCCTCGGGGTTCCTAGCGGCTTCGGCCCCACTCTCGCCACTGAGGCATTATGTCCTCTGACCTCACCACTTGCTGACACTCTTGCTTACACTGCAGGCCGAGAAGGTGCTACAGTTTGATCCGGGGACTAAAAATGTGACGGCCCTGCTGATGGAGGCACGGGAGCTGGAGGCCCGGGTCATCATCCTCTCTGCCAGGTGAGCCAGCTGGGCTAGGGCCATGTGGGCAGTGAGCCCATTGGAACCAGCGTTGGGCACCACTGGCAAAGTGAGCTTCCATACACCTTCCCTGGGGACAGCCACATGCATTCCCGCCCCTACACACCTAGAGACCTGGCCAATCCCACACCCCCATCTGTCCCCCTCCCTGGGCACAGCCCCTTCCATGGCCACATGCAGATCCCTGACCTGAGCTGAGCTTTAGAGTGGAACAGGGAGAAGACACTGCTCTCAGGAAGCCCATGACTCAAAGAGGCACACTTCGTGTGTGTCTGTGTGCACATGCTAGACAAGTGCTCTACTACTGAGCCCCCTTATTTATTGGAGACAGGGTCTTCTTGCTAAGTTGCCCAGGCTGGCCTTGAATTTGCAATCCTGCTGAAATAGCTCAAGGGCTGGGGTCAGGAAAGAGCCCCAGCAAAGGGACATGCAGTTGTGCTGCCAGGATCAGGTGGCAATTTCCAGCCAGGGAGAGGGTAAGACACACCCCCTGGAAGGTGCAGAGCACTTGCAAGGGAAACTCGGAGCCCAGTGAGAAGGAGGCTTTCCTGGAAGGGCCTGGCTCCCACCTGTAGCCTTAGGAAAAGCCCACAACAAATTTTCCCTGTCTGCAATGGCAAAGCTTTCCCGGGAGAGGAAAGACTAGTTTGCAGGGACAGGGAAAGAACACACAAGCCTGGGGGGAAGAGCCAGGGGAAGGCCCAGGCCACCCCTCAGCCTAACCCAACCTAGAAGCTACACTGCACTCCATGCAGTGCAAACAGCAACTCACCACATGCAGAGGACGACATGCCAAACCCTGCGGTCCTCAAAGGAGAAAGGAGGGAGCAGCACTTGTCACCAGATCGATGACCACACATTTAGTCGACAAACTGTCATCCAACCACTCTGTCTTCCGAGTAGACGGGCCCCTCAGGTTGGAAGGCCAGATTCTCCTTCACTCAGATGGCAGGGATGAGGTCCAGCTGTCCTATGCCCAGTGGGACAAAGGACACTGGCACTGAGCTCCTTGTAGCCCCACTTGTGCCTCCACTCCTGTAGAAGCCGCCCTAATCACCCCCAATTGTCCTGGATTTTTAAGTGGCAAACCTAGATCTCAAAAGTCTGAGGGCATTTGCCTTTCATACCCATCCAACTGTGGGCACTTTAGGAAGGCGGCCCAGAACTTGCGAAGAAAGTGCCACACAAAACTGTGCCCACAGAGGGCGGGACTACGGAGACCCCTTATAAGGCAAGCTCCATCCAGGCAAAGCCCCGCCCAGGCAAAGGCTCCCCCAAGGCAGGCTCCAACCAACCGAAGCAAGCCCTGCCCAGACACAGTCTTTCCCTCTCCACCCTCTCCCTCCCTCTCTCTCCACCCAGACCAAGCCCCGCCCAGGGAAAGCCCTGCCTAGAAGCCGTAGTACCTTGGTAAAGCCTCTTTCTCCCTCAAAATCCACTCAAGGAAAGTCCCTCCCAGGAAAGGCTCCACCCTCCCAGAGAAAGTCCTGCCTATTCCAGGGAAAGCCACGCCCAGCACACACTCCAAGCAGGGAAGACAACAAACTGCGCCCAGCGGAAACCCCGCCCAGAAGCTCCAACCAGAGTAGGCTGCGCCCCGGGAAAGCTCAGTCGCCCCTCCCAGAAGTAGCCCTGTCCAGAGAAAACCCGGGCCAGGAAAGTTCCCCAGTGTAACGCTTGAGGGAGATTTCAGGAGTATGGTGGGATGAAAGAGTGCAGTGGCTGGGGATTTAGCTCAGTGGCATAAGCGCCTGCCTTGCAAGCAGGCAGTCATGAGTTCGATCCCCAGTACCGATTAAAAAAAAGAAAGAAAGAAAAGAAAGAGTGCAGTGGGTGCATAGATAGGCTATCAAGCAGAAGATTCCTTGCTCTGGGAAGGCAACTCAGCTGTCAGGCACTTTTGCAGTGGACTGATCACATCTGGCCAGGCTTTCCTGACTTGTACACCTGTAACCAGGGTGACCAAAGAGACACAGGTCAGGGGGTCACAATCTACAGAACCTGGTCAACCCAGGTCCCAGAAAAAGGCAGACACTTTCTGCACTGTTCTTATGTCTGTGGTCCCCATGGCATCCATTGATGCCACAGGGAACTCCGTCTTAGGGGGGGCCTCGTAACGTGGCTGTAAGAAACAGGCCAGCCCAGGGAGGGGGAGATTGTGATGGCAGGCAGATATGCATACCACACACCTCTGCATATGAGTACACATCATATACATACTACCTGTGCACAGATGTGCACACACAGGCATGCACCATAGCTCACTGCTCATATATATGTCAATGCATACTTAGGCATAAGTGCAGGACATGTGCCCACCATACTCAATACATATACATGTGGACCTGTGCATACATATACCAAATGCACCCACACAGCTGTATGTGTGCCATGTACACACTTTACACATGCACGCAAAACATCACACACAAAAGCACACAGCTCTCACTCACACATTTACATGCAGACACCCCAGCCATGCCCACCTAGGTACACATCACACATGTACATAAACCACTGCATACATACATGCTGTCTCACATGTGTGCATAGATCCCAGACAAAACACTGTAACTCTCCCAGCCTCAGAACGATGCTCCCATTAGTTTTCTCCAGTTTTCTACAGCGTACTCAGAACTCATTTCCAAAATTTCTATTTTGTTTTTCTGAAATTGTCTTCATCAATATCAGATACTTCTGTGAAGTGGCCTAATGAGGTTTGATAAGTTGATTAGGCTTTTGTCTACAACTGTCCCACCTTCAGAATCATCCCACCATGTGGCCCACACAGATCTGAACCATATTATGAAGGTTTTCTCCGTCAGGCATTGGTAGGCACAACTGACAGCGGGCATGCTGCACACTGATACAAGTGGTGTTGGGCTCTGCCACGTTCTGTGTGCCATGCTGTCTCCAGGGTCACTGCAGAGCCTTGCCTGGAGCAACTCTGGCTTTTGCTGCTTATAACCACCAATGGTGTCATTTAGAGCAAACACTGCTTCTCCTCTACCCTGCTATGTAGTTCAGGCTGGACTTGAATTTACTAAGTTGCCCACGTTGGGCTTGAACACACAGCAATCGTCCTGCCTCAGCCTCTCATGTGCATGCTGAGATTACAAGCATATGCCCATCCATGCCCAGCTTGAGGTTTGCACTTCTTTGTTGGCTAACCCTTGAGAAAACCACTTTGGTTTCCAGAATCAGCCACTGTAAAATTAACTCAGTATTCAGGCAGTAACCCTGGCTCAACATGCCTGTGGTCTATGCACTGGAGAAGCAGGCCCTGGGTGGCAGTCCTGGTCCAGGTCCCTCAAGAGGAAGCCTGGGCCCTGCAGGGAGGGGTCTTTTTCATGACCAGGGAGGCCCAGCCCAGGGGACTAGGGCCCCTGTGCCACTGTCCACAGGAATCACCTTGAGGATACAAGTGCTCAGGACCCCATGTTCCTCCAAGGTGAGGCCTGAGCTCTGTCCTCCTGGTAGGCCTGGCTTGATCCCAAAATGACAACAGACCCTCCTCCACCTAACAGCCTGTGCCAAGTGCTCAGGGCAGCTTGGGAGTGTGGGAGGACATTCCCATGGACATCTCACCAGGCCTGAGGGCCCTGCACCTCCTTCCACACATTTGAACACAGCAGAGTGAGCGTTTCTGGCTCCTCTGTGACATTGGGGGACACAGGGTTATGGGCTCTGGGGTGGATTGTCCAGGCACAGACCTGACTCTGCTACTCACCACCACGCATGTGTCTCAGGTTCCCTCCAGAGACACAGGGATAATACAAAGCCTGTCCCATAGAAATGGTGTGGGAAATAAGACAATCCCTGTGGAGAAGCCCTTAGAACCATCCCAGCCTGGCATATAGTGAACGAATGAGCAACAGTGATCCCTCACCATTCTGGGCCACCCGCACAGCCATTTAGCCCCTCATGCAGCCCGCCCCTCAGACGCGCCGGGTACTCCTCCCCGCCTGCCCGTCCCCAGGGTAGCAGCCAGCAAAAGAGACCTGGGAAGCTTCTGGGGTCTGGTTTCATCTGTGAGGGCCTCCAGGCCTGTGCGGGTGGGGATGCAGCGTGGAACCCCGCATCTCCACGGGATCTCCTGGCCCCTCATGGGCTGAGGTGCAGCGTGAGCCCCCGCGGCTCCGAGGCCGCTGGGAGGCTCCGGCGGGGTTGGTGCGGCTGGGGAAGACCCGGTCCTGGCCCGTCACCCCTGTCTGTCCACAGCGAGGACGATGCCGCCACCGTGTACCGCGCGGCGGCGATGCTGAACATGACGGGCTCGGGGTACGTGTGGCTGGTGGGCGAGCGTGAGATCTCGGGAAACGCGCTACGCTACGCGCCGGACGGTGAGTGCTGGGCCGGGGGCGGGGCGGCCCGGGGGCGCACGCGCTGAGGCGACCCTCCTGCAGGCATCATCGGGCTGCAGCTCATCAATGGCAAGAATGAGTCGGCGCACATCAGCGACGCCGTGGGCGTGGTGGCGCAGGCAGTGCATGAGCTGCTGGAGAAGGAAAACATCACCGACCCACCCCGGGGCTGCGTGGGCAACACCAACATCTGGAAGACCGGGCCTCTGTTCAAGAGGTGGGCGGGGCTTCCTTCGGGAAGGGGAGGGGTCTTCTTGGAGTGGGCGTGGTTTCTTTCAAGAAATGGGAAGGTCCTAGACCTAGGGCGTCTCCACACTTCAGAATTTGGGCTGGATGCTCTTCCAGAAGTGAGCGGGACCACTCGGCAGGCGTGGGCACCTCCAGGGGCATATGGCGGGTCATGCTGCCTACGACCTATGAACAAGGGACCTCGCACTCTCCATCTCTCACCCCTCCTTCCCAGCACTGCCACCTGTCTTCACTTATAAGCATCTGCCCTTGCTCCCAATACTGACTCCAGGACCTCAGCTGCCACCCAAGTCCACCTCCACACACACACTGCAGCCTAATCCGAGGCGTGCTCCTTCCCACAGTCGCGGGCAGCCTTGGGAGGAAGCCCCTGCTGCAGCAGGTGGGGACTGAGCGCATCTAGAGACCCAGGAGATCCGACCTGGCACTTAGGGCGGCACTTGAGCATGTTGCGAGCCAGGTGGCTGGGGTCTGGAGACCTAGAGGGCAGGAGCTAACTCTTGGTAGCCCAGACACTAGGCCACCTGTGTGGGGCAGGTGTGGTTACAACAGGTGCACACACTAGTGCAGGTATAGGTGGCAGGCACATAGGGACACAGACACACATATATACAAGTACAGGTGAACACAGGTTCACTAATATGTCACCAATATGACAGAGAGACATGGTCTGCAGGACTGCCTGATGGTTAGAACTGGATTCAGGGTCAGCCTGCCTTGCCTACATGCTGGCAAACAGGTCTTGTGTCCTCTGTAAAACCGAGATGGTTGTTTTGAGGATCAACAAGCTGACCCTTCAAAAAGCCCTTACCACACAGAAGGCACTCAGCTGTCACTACTGTGCCACCCATCTGTGTGGGTAGAATTGCTTGATGCCTCCCGATAATACTAGGGCCACCATCTGCTTGTCTTTCCTTTCTGGGGCTTGGGTGGAAGGGAGAGTACTGGCTTCTCAGAAGACTAGGCTAGAGAGTACCCTTGATGGGTCGGAACCACATACCACCCCAGGGTGCTGATGTCTTCTAAGTATGCGGATGGAGTGACTGGTCGTGTGGAGTTTAATGAGGATGGGGACCGGAAGTTTGCCAACTACAGCATCATGAACCTGCAGAACCGCAAGCTGGTGCAAGTGGGCATCTACAATGGCACCCATGTAGGTGGGGGTCATGAGGGGGTGGGGGCTGGGGCCTTAGGGTCCTGGGGCCAAGACCCCTGCGTGGCCACCCTCTATCTCATACTCCCACCCCCAGGTCATCCCCAATGACAGGAAGATCATCTGGCCAGGTGGAGAGACAGAGAAGCCTCGAGGGTACCAGATGTCCACGAGACTAAAGGTTGGGGACCATGCTGACCTGCCTCGGCATTCCCACCCTGGGCACCCCTCCACCCCTAGGCCTGGAAAGGGATGGTGAGGTCCATGAAAACATGGGAAAGACCCAAGGGAGATGGGGACTGCACCTAGCTATCACAGTCCACAATGCCCAGCAGGGGAAGAAAACAGCAGAAAGAGGAAGCAGCACATGCCCCTTGATCCAGAAGACTCCAGCAGCCCAGCTTTGCCCAGCCCCAGGTCCCCAGGGGAGAGCTGACTGCACAAAGACAGTGGGTGGCCCTCCACACATCTCTGTTCTCCAGGCAGCTGTCTTTTGCCTTGCTCCTGGGAGCCCTCTCCTCATGGCATCTTGTCACTCTTCGGGCTCCTCCTTGCCCCTTTTCCTCCTAGGTGCTTTCCCGTGCTGCAAGTTCTGCTCTGACCACAGTGGCAGGACCTTAAGTGCAGGGCACCCAGTTAACCTTCTCTGTGTCCCCAGAACCCCTGTCTGCTTCTTGAGCTCACTCTCCACCTTGGGGCGGGTCCTCTGACTCATCCTGACTGTCCCTCAGCCCTGCCTTTCCTGGCAACAGACGGCTTTCCAGATACCTGTCAGGTCCCTGCAGCCCAGGCTCTCTGTGCAGGAAGTGAAGGAGACAGTCAACATACCGGTGACTAGGAGGCCCCATCTAGGCTGATAAGTGAAGATGCTGTTGACAGCTTTGTTTCTGACCTAATTTTTAAAAAGTACTAATATATATTACTTCAGTAATGGCAAAGCATAACAACAAATTTAAAAAGCAATTTTAGGGGCTGGGGATTTAGCTCAGCGGCATAAAGCGCCTGCCTTGCAAGCAGGCAGTTGTGAGTTCAATCCTTGGTACTGATAAAAAGGAAAAAGACCAAAAAAAAAAAAAAAACCCACCAATTTTAAAGAAGTAATTAAAGAATTTTCCCTCCCTGGGGAAAAAAGCCAGCCTGCAACCTCGGAGGTAGTACTGGCCCTGTGCATCTTTCCCAGCTCCCCTGCCACCTCACACCCCCACCTGGCTGTCCTTCCCACCTAGACCACCTGACCTTCTGCTCCCCACCTTCTCAAGCCCTGGAACAACTCAAGCACCACCTCCACCTCCAGTCCATTATGCCCTACTGGGCTCCACCCAATCACCCTCTCACCGTGACTGTTCCCCTACTCCCAAACTGTGGGCCCTGGAGAATAGGGAGGAGGAGAGGTGAAGCTGGAGCCTGGACTGAGAGAGGTTGGCATGGAAGAGAAGAGCATCATGCTGGGGGCGTGGGGGGGAGACGACAGGCGTGACAGAAGCTGAGATCTGGAGACCAGGGGCTATGTGCCAGACCCAGCAGGCACGCCGGCCTAGGGCCAAGACGGCAGGGGGCAGATGAAGGAGAGACAGATGGCCCTCCGTGTCTCCTCAGTGGACCTGCCCTATCCTTGTGGCTCAGTGGGGCAAAGGGTGGACTGTGGCCAAGATGGATGCTTTTCTTCTCCAAGTGGTCGGAAGTGTTAGCACATGCTGGACATCATCACGAGTGCTTGGGTGATGGGTGTGATGTCTGAGCCAGGACCCCAAGGAAACATGACTGGAGGTGTTTCAGAAGGGGATCCTCTGAGCCCAACTGGGGGGGTCTGGGCAGGGCAGCCATCAGATAATAGTGGCTTGGGAGGAATGTGGAGTGACCTAGGGAGGGATGATGAGTGGGGGAACCTGGAGTGGCCTGGCATGGAGTAGAGGCCAGCGCCTGGGGACAGCAAGGCCTGTGACCCAGCCAGGCTCTCCTCTCTCCAGATCGTGACGATCCACCAGGAGCCCTTCGTGTACGTCAAGCCCACGCTGAGTGATGGGACGTGCAAGGAGGAGTTCACGGTCAACGGTGACCCAGTCAAGAAGGTGATCTGCACTGGGCCCAATGACACATCACCAGGCAGCCGTGAGTGCTGGGCAAGTGTGGAATGGGAGCGGGGGCTGGGCGAGCAAGAGCCTGCAGAGATCCCACCGGCTCATCCCATCCCCAGCGCGCCACACGGTGCCTCAGTGTTGCTACGGCTTCTGCATCGACCTGCTCATCAAGCTGGCACGGACCATGAACTTCACCTATGAGGTGCATCTAGTTGCGGATGGCAAATTTGGCACCCAGGAGCGGGTAGGTGGGCGGGGCTGTGAGCTGGCAAGGGGCTTGTGGGAGGGGCCCGAGTCCTGTGCGTGGCTTCGTGTGAGGGCTTTCTGAGTGGGCGGGGCTTGGTGGCAAGAGTCTGGTCTGGGGCAGGCCTGAGTCAAGGGGCTTTGGGTTGCGAGCTGGGCAAGGTCTGCACCAGGATGCGCCAGGGCTTGTGGGCACAGATCCCGTGCAGCCTCGCCACTCTTGCTACGCAGGTGAACAACAGCAACAAAAAGGAGTGGAACGGGATGATGGGCGAGCTGCTTAGTGGGCAGGCGGACATGATCGTGGCGCCACTGACCATCAACAACGAGCGTGCTCAGTACATCGAATTCTCCAAACCATTCAAATACCAGGGCTTGACCATTCTGGTCAAGAAGGTGAGCAGGGGCCCGACGGCTGGCTCAGGGTCCCGGAGGTCCCGGTAGTGCTGACTGCTTCTCTACCTGCAGGAAATCCCACGGAGCACACTGGACTCGTTCATGCAACCATTTCAGAGCACACTGTGGCTGCTGGTGGGGCTGTCGGTGCATGTGGTGGCTGTGATGCTGTACCTGCTGGACCGCTTCAGGTGAGCGTCATGCAGGGGCTGGACATGCCAGGTCAGGGTATGTGGAGTTGGGCAGGGGCAGGCTGGTCGCCTGTCCCGCCCGCTCTCCTGCCCGCTCTCCCACCCGCCCCTTGTGCCCTGCAGCCCCTTTGGCCGGTTCAAAGTGAACAGTGAGGAAGAGGAGGAGGATGCATTGACGCTGTCCTCTGCCATGTGGTTCTCTTGGGGTGTCCTGCTCAACTCTGGCATTGGGGAAGGTAAGACTGTACCCAGCCTGCCCTCTCTGCCAACATGCCCAGGGATCTAACCCAGACCTGTGCCCACAGGTGCCCCTCGAAGCTTCTCTGCACGCATCTTGGGCATGGTGTGGGCTGGCTTTGCCATGATCATTGTGGCCTCCTATACTGCCAACCTGGCAGCCTTCCTGGTGCTGGACCGGCCTGAGGAGCGCATCACAGGCATCAATGACCCACGGGTAAGGCCTGGCCCAGCTTGGGGTGTTGTGAGCCAGAAAAGGCATCTGTCTTGAGGAGACCTGGGCACAGCCTCAAGCCCTGTCCTCCCCTGCAGCTGAGGAACCCCTCGGACAAATTCATCTATGCAACCGTGAAGCAGAGCTCGGTGGACATCTACTTCCGGCGGCAGGTGGAGCTGAGCACCATGTACCGGCACATGGAGAAGCATAACTACGAGAGTGCAGCCGAGGCCATCCAGGCCGTGCGAGACAAGTGAGCCGAGCTCAAGTGCCCTGGTGGGGAGGCCATGCAGCCAGGGCAAGGGGTATGCACCGGCAGGCTTAAGGGCTTCTAGTGATCCTGCTTCTGCCGGCAGCAAGCTCCATGCCTTTATCTGGGACTCGGCCGTGCTGGAGTTTGAGGCTTCGCAGAAGTGTGACCTGGTAACCACGGGCGAGCTCTTCTTTCGCTCTGGCTTCGGTATTGGCATGCGCAAGGACAGCCCCTGGAAGCAGAATGTATCCCTGTCCATTCTCAAGTGAGTCTTGCATGCCTGGACACCCTCACTACAGTCACCAGTCTCCAAGAGCTCCTATTGGAGGACATTCTTAGCGCCCACCACATGAAGGCACCCCCAAAACAGCCCCAAGCAGGCCAGGAGCTGTGCAATGTGCATTCCAGCCACCTAGGGCCCGCCCCTCTACGTAGGCCCCGCCCATCGAAGGTTTTACTCAATCCCAGACACTTCCCTTCATACAACGCCACACCCACTGAAGGCCTCGCCTAAGCTGGGCACAGCTTCATCATAGGGTGGCACAGCCCTATCATGGAGTGTCACAGCCGCATCCTGTGACACAGGTCCACCCAATCTGCATCCCAGGTCCCATGAGAATGGCTTCATGGAAGACCTAGACAAGACGTGGGTTCGGTACCAGGAATGTGACTCACGCAGCAATGCTCCTGCGACCCTCACTTTTGAGAACATGGCAGGTGGGGCCCCCATTCCCCTCCAGGGCTGCACTGGGACCAGTGAGGCTCCTCCGCCAGTCGCTGAGGCTCCGCCCCACACACAGGGGTCTTCATGCTGGTGGCCGGGGGCATCGTGGCTGGCATTTTCCTGATTTTCATTGAGATCGCCTACAAGCGCCACAAGGATGCGCGCAGGAAGCAGATGCAGCTGGCTTTCGCAGCAGTGAACGTGTGGAGGAAGAACCTGCAGGTAGGACAGGCCACCCCGCGAGGCCTGGCATCCAGGCCTGGCCTGGCCATGGCTCCCCTTCCTGCGCCGCAGGCCTTGGCACTGGCTTTGGCTCCTGAGTGCTCCTAGGACCTGGGGGCAGCACTAGGGTGGGCTGCCTGCTGTGGGCGCCCACTGCCAAGCCAGGCCGAGGGAGGCCACACACCCCGCTTGGAGCCTCCACCTGGCCCCTCTGTCTCCAGAGTCACCCACCGGCGCCCATCCCATAGGAAGGCGAGCAGGCAGGGTAAGACAGGGGCCCACCTGTGTGTAGCATGTGAGTCCCAATGCAACTGACCCTCCAGAGACCCCCTTCCTGCTGTAACCTTTGGCTCTGTGACTGCAATCCAAAGGCAGCCACCCTCTCCTCTGGTGCCCAGGGTACATCCCTGGGGCTTTGCAGCCAGCTGGACCAGGGCTGCTCACGGGTCAGCCACAGCGGGGGTCGGGATGGGATGACAGTGAGGCCCGTCAGGCCTGGGGCTGGCGGCCCTCTCGCAAGTTCTCCTTCGCTCCTCTCTTTTCTCTCTCTGGTGCCTTCCTGGAGCTGTGTCCCAAGATGAAGCTGGCATTGCAGTGAGGGCTGTGGAGGGCTGGGCTGCTGGGGTCCTCACACCTCTCATCTGCCCATTCTTACTCTTGGTCCACAGGTCCCTTGGGGACCTGTCCACTGCTCCCACTGGAGAGCAGAGGGCCACACTGACCATCAGACTCAAGGCCAGTGTCCGAGGAGCTGCTTCTGTCTATTGCTCCAATTCCATCTCAACACCCACCTTGGGCTCCTTGGCCCCTTCCTCAATCTTGATGTGTGCCCGCTAGGATCAGCTCCTCTCATCCTTGAGGGGCTCCTCCTCTTTGGGCCACTCAGGAGCTGCTGGACTCCTAGGAGGAGAGCTGGCTGGGAGCCTAGCCCAGCCCCAGCAAGAGCAAGGCCAGGCCAAGCCCTCAGGCAGGAGAAGAGGTTGCCCTTGCCAGTCTGGCTGTCAGTCCATCTGTCCAGCACAGAGAAGCAGGCAGAAACAAGGGCCTAAGTGGCCGGCCAGGCCAGGTAGTGGCCCACGAGGAGCAGGCAAGGGCAGGTGTGGCTGCCATCCTTAGCCATCTAATCACTTATACATATTCATTTTAGGATAGAAAGAGTGGTAGAGCAGAGCCCGACCCTAAAAAGAAAGCCACATTTAGGGCTATCACCTCCACCCTGGCCTCCAGCTTCAAGAGACGTAGGTCCTCCAAAGACACGGTAAGGGGGAGAGCACCCCAGTCCCGCGTCTCCAATTCCTCCCTCGCCCCCGTGTCTGTCTCCCTCTCCCTCGCCATCCCACCCGTCCCTGCCTCTGCCTCTGGCCATCTGTGCCTCTGCCCCAAGCAGCCCCCTACCCCAGTCAGCCTGTGCCCCTCTGTGCCCAGAGGCCAGTGCTGCCCTCGGGCCCACACCTCTTCCCAGTCCTCACCAGTCCTCAGCCCCGACCCTGTGTGTCTTCACCTTAGTCTGCCCTCTCCTTTTTCCCCATGCCATGACCCACACACCATCTTGAAGCCGTCTCATGTTGTTGCTCAGTCAGCCAGCCTTGCCACCTTCCCAGCTGGGAGCTCAGAGCAGTCCTGTCTCAGTTGCCCCCCGCACTAGGAGGCCACACTACTGCTGTGATGTCCCTGTTTCTCTCACCTCCCCCAGTGGGGCTGCCGCCCTCACACCTGCCTTGTGACAGCCCTGGAGGGGGTGGCTGTGATGTCCCATCCCGTCCGTCTGTCTGGCCACTGGCCCCGCCCCCCCAGACACCTGTCTCACCTGTCTCACCAGAGCCATGCGTGTTGCATCTTCCATGTGGTCTCTGTGTGGGCCGGGGGCTGGGGGCCGGGGCCGGGTCCATCTGGGTGGACGGCTGGGGCCTGGTGGCCCCTGGCCACAGGGTACTGTCCTTGGGGGATGGGGTGGGACCAGGGATCCCTGCCGGAGTGAGCAGCAGCCCCTGAGGGTCTGAGACCAGACAGGCAGGGGCAGCCCTGCAAATCCAGGTCAGCAGAACCCAGGGCCACATCGAGGGGGCCCAGGAAGGGATCCCCAAACAGGTGCCTTCACAGGTGCTGAGGGCCAGGCCTTCTGCCTGGGGAGCCAGGACCCCATCTCCTGCCTTGCATAGCTCATCACAGCACCTGAGAGCACCCTCAGGCCCAAGGCCCCCAGAGGGCCCTGACCTTGCTAGAGGTGCCCTAGGGTCAGACAGCCACCATGCAGACCTACCCCAGGAAGTCCCCAGCCCATAGACAGTGCCACCCCACAGGGAGAGACTGTGATTTGTAGTCCCCAGCCGCTCCATGCACAGGAAGAAGGGAAGACCTCCAAGGCACAGGCAGGACTTGGCACAGAGCAATCTGTGTCTCAGGGCAAAGCCATCAGGGTACCCCAAGAGGGACCCAAGGTGCTTGGCTGCTCAGCTCTGCAGGGAGGATGCAAGTGAAGGAGAGGCAGCTGGAGGCTCTAGGAGCTGGTGGTGGCACAGTCCCCAGGACCAGCCAGCTGGTCTGAGCCCCGGGTTCCACCAGAGGGCGGAGAGCGGAGGGAGAGAACAAGGCCAACCAAACCATGGGTTGGGAAGCCGAGGCGGAAGGTGTCTCCTGACAGACAGAAGTAGTTCTTTGGGGCAAGGTGCCTGGGGGCACAGAAGTTGTGCAGTGATGGGACACTGTCAGCAAGTGGGTGGCCCCAAGGTCTGGGTCCTGCCTGCAACTGGCGCAGGTGCAGCTCAGGGTGCCCTTCTGGGTCATGCTCCCAGTGGAACCCTACAGAGCGAGCCCTGGCACCAGGTGGCACCTAGGGCAGATCCCTACCTCGCAGGGCTGACTGCGGGGCACTCTGCCACTGGGCTCTGGTGGGGGAGGGCAGTCCAGCTCCTGCCCAGCTCTGGGGCTGGGCAGCTATTCAGAGGGAGGCTGGGGCGGGGGCTCCTTTGGGTGGGGTGGGATTGGTCCTGCTGCTGAGATCCTCTGCCCCTGTCCTGTGGCCGGTCCGGGTCAGGGCGGCACTGGGCACTCAGGGCTGGGATCCCTGGCGGCCATCGGGGCCAGCGGGTATTGATTGTTGGTTCTTATTTATAGAGCACCGGGGGTGGACGCGGCGCTTTGCAAAACCAAAAAGACACAGTGCTGCCGCGACGCGCTGTTGAGAGGGAGGAGGGCCCGCTGCAGCTGTGTTCGCGTCATAGGGAGGGCTGAGACGCCCGCCCGCCTGCCCTCCTCTGCCCCCACCCCCCGCAGACAGACGCCCGGGACAGCGCCCGCCCCACGCAGAGCCCCCAGCACGACGGGGCCGGGGAGGAGCACCTCCAGCCTCCCCCAGGCTGCGCCTGCCTGCCCGCCGGTCGGCCGGCTGGCCGGTCCACCCTGTCCCGGCCCCGCACGTGCCCCCGGCGTCGGGGCTAACGGGCCGCCTTGTCTGTGTATTTCTATTTTGCAGCAGTACCATCCCACTGATATCACGGGCCCGCTCAACCTCTCAGATCCCTCGGTCAGCACCGTGGTGTGAGGCCCCCGGAGGCGCCCACCTGCCCAGTTAGCCCGGCCAAGGACACTGATGAGTCCTGCTGCTCGGGAAGGCCTGAGGGAAACCCACCCGCCCCAGAGACTGCCCACCCTGGGCCTCCTGTCCGCCCGCCTGCCCTGCTGCCTGGTGGGTAGCCCCTGCTGGACCAAGGTGCGGACTGGAGTGGCCGAGGACGGGCCAGAGCTGAGCCGGCTGGGCAGGGCCACAGGGCGCTCCGGCAGAGGCAGGGCCCTGGGGCCTCTGAGCAGAGGCCCTGGGTGGAGGGGCTCGAAACAGAGCTGGCAACCCTATCTGGCCACCCTCCTGAGCCAGGGTGAGGCCTGTGGTGCCAGCTGGCGGGGGGCCCCTTCCTCTAGTGCCTGCTGGCTGCAGCCTGAGCTCCACCCTCTCCTCTTCTTGCTGCACTCCCACCCGTGCCCCTTCTCCCCGACCCTCGCCTGCTGGGCTGGCGCTGCCAGTCCCCATAGCTACTCCTGACTCCCCTAGCTGGCAGCACCTCTTGGGGCACTCAGGGTCTGCAGTGCCTGCGCCTCCTTCAGACTCCAAGTGGGCGGAGCCTTTCCTTTGCCCGCAGCCCGCGCCACGCAGGCTCTGGACTGTTTCAACCCTGCCCTGCACCCTGGGCGCAGAGGAGCGCTCCCCGAGCCATCCTCCCCCAGCCTCAGGTGCTGCCTGCAGCCTGCTGCCTGCCACCTGGCGCAGGTCCAACCCTCCCGTTCCGAGCACGTGCCTTCCCCTGCGACCCGCGTGCACCGCCCCCCCCCGCCCTGTGTGCAGTGGTCTTGCCTAAAGGAATGTCTCGATATTTTCAATCTGTGTCCCCATTTACTGGCAGAATGTGAAGGGAGGCCCGGGACGGGATGGGGTTAGGGTTGGGCGGGTGGGGTGGCCTCACTCTCCCGATCCGCTATGGAGACAGATCCGGCAAGGTCCAGAGGTCGCGGCGGACGGCGAGTGGCGGGGCGGCGGTGGCGGTGGCGGCGGCGCGCGCGGCAGGTGGTAATCGCGAAGCCCAACACCAGGCAGATGGCCAGGCTGGCGAGAAAGGAGACAGGCCCGAGCGCGTAGATAACTGCCAGGTCCCGTGCGGCGAGGCGCGTTGTGCAGTGTTGGAAGGCGTCGTCGGGGAGGGCGGTCAGAGGGGTGAGCGTCAGGCGGCCGGGTGAAGTACAGAGCAAGGGCTCTGCTTCTGTAGGGGCAGGGGCGTTAGTCAGGAGGAGGTCCCAGCCGCCCAACTCGGCCGTCCAGGTCACGCACCGCTCACCTGAAGCGCTCGGGTGCGACAGCAGCCAGATGCAGAGCGGGCGCAGGGCGCAACCACAGGCCCAGGGGTTACCGTGCAGGCTCAGCGAGTCCAAGGCCGGCAGGCGGGCGAGCAGGCCAGGCTCCAACGCCGACAACGCGTTATCCTGCAAACTGAGAGCGCGCAGTCCTGGGAGCGCGCCCAGTGCTGAAGGCTCCAGCAGTGCCAGGCGGTTACCGGCCAGGGACAGAGAGCGCAGCGCGTGCAGTGGTGCGAAGGTTCCGGGTGCCAGCGTCTCCAGCTGGTTGTCGCTCAGATCGAGGAACTGTAGGGCAACCAGACCCCAGAAAGCCCGGGCGTGCACTGAGCGCAGCCCGTTCTTGCGGAGGTCCAGGAGGTCCAGGGCTCGCACACCCTCGAAGGCGGTGGGTGGCAGCGTGCGCAAGTGATTGTGATCAAGCAGAAGCCTATGCACGTGCCAGCTCAGGCCCGCGGGCACAGAAGACAGAGCCAGGGAAGAACAGTTGGCCTGGCCGATCACTGAGCACACACATGCCTCTGGGCATTCGGGGGCGCCAGAGGGCTCCGAGAGTGGGACTCCAGTGGGCATTGGGGCCCAGGCTGGCTTTAGCAACAGTAGTAGCAGCAGCACCAACAGATGTGTTGGAAGCCAAGAAAAAAAGAAAACGCCCGGCATAGGGGTGGCTCTGGGCCCTGAGGTGGGCTCCCTGCTCCCTGTGTGTCCTCAGAGGCCAGGCTTCCTGGACACTTGTCCCTGTGGTGCCTGCACAAACACTGTCCAGCTTGATACCTGCTGTTCCTGTCCCACAACTGTCCGGGGCGGGGGCCAGGCATGCAGCCAACGCCCAGCACTGCCAGCACCTGTCCCAGAACGCCAGGTCTGTGACTTTCTCCTTTGTGAGGGTGAGACCACTGGAAGCTTGTGAGGTTTGACCAGGAAGACATGCCCACCTGCACCTTCAGCAAGGACCACAGTGTGCAAGCTACTGCTCACACCCAATCCAGCTCCACTTGAGCTGGGGGAAGGGACCCCCATTGGGAGTGGGCGGGTCCTCTCCCATGGTGAATGGCAGGCATACTTGACCAGCCTGAGCTGGGGCTCAGGCCTTGGAATGGAGGGGGATGGTGCAGAGGGAAAGAGGGTGTCCCCCACTCCCTAGAACCTGCAGGGCACAGTGAATGGGGAGGGGACTTCAGCCTACATGCTCCTGTCCAGTGCTTCTCTCAAGCTGGCAACTGCAGGTGCTGTGTGAGGCTCTGACGTTGCCAGGAAGGAGCCCAGGGCAGCCACGGCTTTGTGGGACCATGCAGCAGGGAAGAGCAGGGCTGTCCAGTCATGTGTTAACATAGTGGGTGTGGTTCTCTGCCTGGTGGGAGGAACACCCCCACCATCCATATGCCTCTAGAGGCCTTGTCGCTTGCAAGGAGGACAGTGTACAACCACTAAATACTTTTTATTTCCTTGCCTGGCACTATGCCCTACACAGGGGATGGGGTGGCTACTCTACAACGTCTTCCATGAGGACATGATGTTCCTCCACGGACTGCATCATGGGGACCGCCAGGTCAAGGTGGGAGTCCACGCGCATCGAGCGCATGTCCATGCGGTCTTCCTGGGCCCCGTAGTGCTCCACCAACCTGCATGACAGCACAGGCTGGCAGGGCCTTGGGGACAGTGCTCCTAGTGCCACCATGAGCTGCCTTCCCAGCAGTGCCATGGAGGGGCCGCCCCCACCCTGCGGCAGTACTTACCTGCTTTCCATGTGTCTGGGGCAGGTTTCACTGGGAGGACAAAGGTAGGTGTGACCCTTGGAGCAACGCTCGCCCCCTAAGCCCAGCAGTACCCAGGCCCCCTTCCTGGCACACCCCTGAGCAATGCCATTCCCAACCACTGGTGACAGCCCCCCCATGGCCAAGGGCCTAGAGCCAGCTGCAATGGCCTGCTTCCCACCACTATCTGCCCCAGCTCACGCACTCCTTGGCTCGAAAGACACCGATGGCCACAATGATCAGCGCAGAGAAGCAGCTGGCACCAATGCCGGCCAACACCACAATGAGGGCGATGAGGGCTTCCCGACTGAGGCCAAGAGTGCAGTCACAGCCGGTCTCAGCTGTGGAGACACAGCCATAAAGCCAGGTGCTGTCAGCCGCTGCTGGGGTACCTCCAGGTCTGCCCTGCCTCTCCAGCTCCCAGGAGACATGGGGACAGCACTGCCTGGGAAAGTGCAGGGCTCAGGAGCCACACCTGCAGCAGGGATGAGCAAGGACAAACATATCAGGCCCAGGGGGCTGCCGGCCAAGCAGGAGTCAGGCTGGGGACAGGGGACCATGTCCAGCCCAGCCCCGCACACAGATCTAGACGGAACTCGTAGGGAGGTTCTGACCTCACAGTGGGGCTGGGGTGGGTGGGGGTGGGGCCACGGGGCTCATGGCTGGCTTAACTTCCCTCGTGCTTGGGCACTGGAGTTTGAGGAGCCCTGGGTGGGGAATCTGAGCTAGCACAGGTGGGGGTCAGAGCCCTGGGGACCTCGCAGGCAGTGTGGTTGGACTGTCCAGTGCAGGGACAGTGGCCTTGATGTGGTCTCCTTGCACCATTAGGCAGCAGAGCTGGGTCTGGGCACAGGCAGGCTGTGTGTCTTGGCCCCCAGGGCTGGGACAGGGAGGGGCCAAGGGGCAGAAGGGTGGGGGTGAAAGTGCATCTGGTGGCCCTCACTGCTGCTTCTGGCAAGGTTGAGACCACATTGCCCACAGAGCCCAGGTTGTGAAGCCCACTGGCACGCATAGGGACCCTCAGTTGGGAAGGATCCAGGGGCACGCTACACCTGCCTGACAAGGTTCCCCAGCCGTATGTCCAGAACACCCTTTTGGGAGCAGCCACTCAGAAATGGCTGCAGGCAGCATCCAAGGGTACTGGCCACCATTAATCTGAAGCCCTCTGTGTCAAGTATCAGTTCTTCTGACCAGAGAGCCAGCTACCTCAGGCTGGCATGTTCAGGGTTAACCTCTGTGGGCCACGTCCCTGCACCTGCTGTTCCGAGCTGCCCAGAGCCACCCCACCCTGCTCTTCAAGACCTGCCAAGTTGGGGTGGCACTGAGAGCAAATGTACTGCCAGGCTAGTGGGATTCCAGGTTCCCCTGGTCTGTAGTGCTCTCCAAGGGCAGGCACAGATGTCCCCTGCAGGGGTTACTAAGAAAGGCTGGCAGCCATGCTGTGACCTAGGACACTCCCTGGTTTTCAGGACACTTTCAAAAGAATGCAGGACAGGAGTGCCTTTGGTCAAGTGCTGGCACCTCTACCCTGCCAGTCCAGTTCAACAGGTTTACATCCTGGTTAGGACAAAGGCACACCCTGTTTGGGGGCCAGGTGGTGGCCATGGTGGCGGTGGCGTGGCAGTGGTGTGGCGGGATGCAGACAGGGGCCCCTTGCAGTGGGGATGGATGTCAGAGCCTTAAGGCCATCACCAGATCCCAGGAGGACCCAGTGTGACCACGGTACCAGCACAGGTGTGAGTGGAGCTGGGGGCACACACGGCATTCTCTTGCACAAAGTGAAGCACAGGCCACGCTGGGCAGGGGCAGGGTGGCAACTATGGGCCCACGGGAAGGGGAAATGGGGCCCAGGACACAGCTGAAGCTAGGTATGGCCCGAGGCCTTGGAATGCAGGAGCAGGACAAAGGCATAGGTTCCAAGGGGTTTTGGTTTCCTGCAAGAACATAGCCCAGAATACATCCTGCCTGGAACAGACAAGGCCAGAGTGGGCCTATGGCACTGACAAGTGTCGGGCCAGCATTGACCCCAGGTGACACCAGTGCAGGCAAAGGCAGAGCTGGCTCACCCCAGCCCTTGGGAAGGTCACCTGCTTTTCCAAGTACAAGGTTGTAAGCATGAGGCATGGGGCAGGTGACCAGGCTGACAGGTCGGTTACCCCACAGACCTGGAAGTCCTTCACCTCTGCTCTCAGCCTTGGTAGAGTCTCCACATCTCAGCAGCACCTAGCCTGGCACGACACCCAACACTCCAGTGCAGAGGCGAAGGTGAGGGCTCCTCCTGAAGGCCAGGACAGCAGTGGAGGTGGAAGCTACCCAGGTGACTACTGAACCCCATCAGGTTGCCCCTTGCCCAGCACAACCTGGGTCATTTTCAGGACACACACCCACAGAATCTAGCCGGGCTGGCTACACTGGCACCCCCTCCCCTGCTGTGGGCCAAAGCAGAGTGGCCACACTACAGGGAGACTCAGGGTGTATGGGGTCCACACAGGCACCTGGATGCTAAAGGATGAACTGACCTACTTTAATTTGTGGGTTAGGGGGATTGTGAAGACTGAGGAGACAGAGCAGGAGAGGAAGCAGACATGGGGGCTGGCAGGAGTGCAGGGACACCACGGTGGGTCACACTGGGCAGGGCTGGGTGGCACTTGTCAGCTACAGCTCTTGGGCAGGCGGTAGACACCGGCGGAGTAGATGAGCTGCTGGTCGCGCACCTTCTTCTGCAGGTAGCCCTGGAGCTCCTGCAGGTCTATCTCAGCCAGCGCAGGGCCCGTCATGACGAACATGCGCAGCATACTGTAGATTCGCTCCAGCGAGAGGCTCTCCAGGTTGGTCAGCATGGCCTGGATATAGGTCCAGAAGAGCTGCGGGACACAGCCGTGTGTCAGGAGCTGTTCTTGGCAATCCTCACCTGTCTGCCCGTCTGCCCACCAGACACAGCCACACACCAGCAGCTCTTCCTCCTTCTGGTCGGCCTGGGAGGCCATGCCCGAGTCGCTCTCGTCATCACTATCAATGAGCACCATGTTGTCTCGGTCCTGTGGCCGCTCCTCCTCAATGACAGAGAAGGTCCCTGGGGGCTCCTCCCGCAGCACACCCTGCTGCAGCCACACAGACATGCGCCGCCGCAACAGTGCCACAGGCATCTTCACCACCTTGCTCAGCTCCTCCAGAGTCCAGCTGGCTGTGGGCAGAGTGTGGGGAGGTTGGAGAAGCCCCGCCTGCCAGTCCTGTCAGTTGCAGCAAAGGGAAAGGGGTGCTCTGGCTCTGCTCATAGCTGGCCCTGGACCTACGCACCTGGAGCTGCCGGCTTACCTTGGTCCTGGAAGTAGAGCAAGACCACTGCCTGCACAGGTGTCACTGCCACAGACAGGGTGCGGTCAGCCAGCTCCACGTCCATGGTCACCAGCCCCAGGGTGTGCTTCCAGCTGAGGGTCCGCATGGCCTGTGGAGAGCCAGGGTCAGCATGGGCAGCGCCAGGCCAGGGAGACATGACACCAGATGGGAAGGGGCCCCAACTGCTCAGCTTCTGGGATAGAACATGGGCCACTGCTGTGAACTAGCTCATTCCTGCAAAGGTTGGAACTCCTAGTACCTTGCAAAATGACCTTGCTTGGGAAAAGGTGATGAGACATAGTAAGCCAACAGGAGGATGCTGAGGTCTGGAATCCCCACAAAGAAAAGGACAAGAGTGTAAGGCACTTCTGTGTGCTCGGGATGAAACGGGGAACGTGTACTGGAGAACAGAGGGGAGAGCAGAGCACTTGGCTGAACTGGATCCTGCTGTGCACAGGAAACTGGGACTTGCAACAAGCCTGGGTGTCCACCTGAAGACATGTCCAGGCACAGTGGGGGAGGTGCAGTGGACTTTTCTTTGCTGCTTAAGAGTAAAACTCGAGCCAGTAATTCCAGCACTCAGGAGGCTGAGGCAGGAGGATCACCACGAGTTTGAGGCCAGCCTGGGCTATACAGTGAGTTCAAAGCCAGTCTGAACTACATAGCAAAACCTTGTGTCCAAAAAAAAAGAAAGGAAAGAGAGAGATTGAGCAAAGACAAATTAAGCAAAAGGGAGCCAAGATCTGGTGACATCTGGGCAGGTCTACAGACAGAGCCAAAGACCAGTGACTTATGAGTCCAACTAGCCTCTGCACAGTGGCTAAAGCAGACGTGGTATCCAAAAGCCGTCTGCAGGGGACCTCTGGCCCCTGGCTCGGAGGCTGAGAGAATTATGGGAGAAGCCAGCATGGCTTTAGGACTTTATAGCAGCAGTGCACTAACTCCTTGACTGCAGAACAGATCTCAGGGGAAAAAGAACACTGAAGGGCAGAGTCACAGATGTCCGCAGAGTCCTGGCTTCAGGATCTCTTGAGTGCCACTGACTGCAGACTTGCTTGGTACACACAACCCTTTGTCCTTTGTTTCTGCCCTTGGAGACAGGAGTGCCAGGCATAAGGCATTTCAGTATGTGTTTGGGGGATCAGCCTCCAGGTCTCCTCTATTTCTGCCTGAGACCTTAAGAACTGGGACTCAGGAGACACCAAAGGAGCTGACTTTGGGCTGAATGTATTTTGCATGTGAGAGGCCAGGAATTTCAGGACCACAGAACAGGCTCTTAGAGTCCAACAGTGTCCGTCAGACACACTGCTTAATTCAGACTCCAGTACCTAGGGCGTCCCTGACCTGGGAAGGAGTCATCAAAGCAAGGGGCTGTTCTGGAATCCCTCATACAGGATGACCAGTGTCCTTGACGACCAGATGAGGAGAAATGCATCTACTTAGGATCCTGGAGCACTGGACGTTGGAAGAGGCCAGAAGGACCTAAGGGCCTTGGAGGAAGGGTGGCCTGTGACAACCTCACATCAGCAGACGCTAGACAGGCAGGGGAGAGGGCACTGACCATGGGGCACAAGCCACCCAGACATCCTCAACCAGGACACCTAGCACCAACCAGAGAGAGAGCGCAACGGTGAGGGCTGAGTACCTCCAAGGCCACACAGGCCCCGCTGCAGGACACAAGGCTCTTCCAGAACCTGAGCTGATGTGCTTGGGCTGAGAGCAGCTGGGTTTGGACCACCAGCACCAGCACCAACAGCAGCACCACTTCAGCTCCTCCCAGGATGCCCTGTCCTGGCCCAGATCACAAGCAGGGCAAGAAGACATACTGAGGTGAAGCTGCTGTACTCGCACCTGACTGCCGCTAGCCATCTCCTCCAGGCTCTCATGAGGCCCCCAGTGTGGCATCTGCTGCCTGCTGCCTGCAGGACTGTCTCCTCACACATCCTATGGTGTAGCTCCCCTCAGGCCTTAACACCTGCTAGGATGCCACCCAGGCTCAAACTACCTAGGCTCTGAGCCCTGGGGCTTCCAGCCCCTTCACTCCTGACAGGACTGACTGTGGGTGCAGGAGGGAAGGACCTCAAAATCTGACCCCAGGCTCCTTGCCTATATGGCCACACTGTTCACCTGGACTAGGGTCAGCCACACTATATGGGCTGGAGCCGTCACATTGGGCACACGGTAGGGGGCTGGGGATTTAGCTCAGTGGCATAAGCACCTGCCTTGCAAGCAGGCGTCGTGAGTTCGATCCCCGGTACCGATAAAAATGAAAAAGACCAAAAAAAAAAAAAAAAAAGGAAACATTGGGCACATGGTTGCCACTGACCAGTGACCTCCAGAAGTGAACCCCTCCTCTGCCTTGTCCCTTAGCCTTGGGCCTCCAAAGAGCCCCAGTCCTAGTGTTTAGGACCCAAGGGAGCAACCTTGTAAGATAGAGACGGCTACAATGTGAAGGCGGAGTGTGCCTGAAGAGATGATGCCTGTAGCAGATACGGCCTCTGACAGCCAAGAGCTGTGGGCAGCACCTGGCACCCCAGCTGGAGAGCACAGGATCAGCAACAGAGGACAGACGCTCGGTTATGAGACCACTGCAGAGCAAGGGGATGATCGAGCTACACACACACCTCCAAGCAGCATGCAGACCCAAAGCCTCCAGGAAGAAGGCGGAGGGCAGCAGGCCCAAGGCTGCAGGAGGTGTGATTGACGCCAAAGGATACTGGCTATACCTTCAGCTTCTCATACTTCTTGCAGTAGACCTCCAGGGCTGCCCGGATGTCCTCAGGGACCTCCAGCTTCTCCTCCTTGAAGGGGGGCCAGAACTCGCTGGACAAGATGACAGCATAGACCCCAAATGGTGGCTGTTCCTCCACAGGCCGCTTCTCGTCCTCCTCCCGGATATTGGCATTGATGCGGCGGGAATCTGCCATGTCCTGATGCAGAGACAGCATCTCATCAAGGCCCCAGGCTGGTGAGGATGAGCTGGGGGTGACAGCCCTGATACTTGCCTTCAGCATGACCTCACAGAAGTGCATAGGGGCTTCGCCAAACCGCAGCTTCAGTAGCTCCACGTTGCGAATCTCCCTGGAAGGCATGTTTCTGGGAGGGTTGTGGGATGCTACTCCCATCCCCACCCAGAACCCTCCACGGAGGTCACCCCTAGGCCAGCTGGGCACTGTCAGCCCTTCATCCCAGCAGAGGCAGGAGCTGTGGGCTCCAGCACCCTCTTGAGGCCAGCCAGCACCTCATAGGCCTCACCGCTCTGGGCTGAAGCTGAACTGGTGCAGGAGGCGGTCAGCCAGGAGTGAGCGGTACTCGTTGATGAAGAGGTCCTTGCTGCCATAGATGCTGACCAGCAGACTGATGATGTCAGAGGAGCGCCTCTTGGAGCTTGACTTCCCTGGTACAGCAGGGGCAGGCACACCAATGGCACCATGGCGAGGCTAGTGACACCAGACCTGCCTCACAGGGTGATGCTGCCCAGCACACTCTGGAGAGCTTACTTCTCAGTGCTCTTTACAGCTGGGAGCAGCCCAGTACCTCTCAGACACCTAGGATTCGGTCCTGGGGACCTGCTTGGATCCTCACACCCCTCCTCATAGAGACTCCCACCCAGGCTCAGGGAACAGAACAATGGCCCTTGGGTTTTCAGGAACAAGGCTGTGACCCAACTTCCTTAAAGGATCACGAGCCTTCCTCCAACTACCACTGCAAGGGGCAGGGCCAGCAGGGCACCTCTTAGGCTGGGACAATCAGATGGCATGGGGGGATACAGCAAGTGAATGAGTATGAGCAGGAGGACCCCCTCAGTCTCTTGATATACTGGGTGCTCCTGATAGGACCAAACACCAACAGACATATGGGACCAGAGCCCAGCAGGGCCAAGGAGAGACAGGAGGAATAAGCTGACCTGGATCAGCATCCACAGGGTCAGGGACCCAGTCCTCAGGCTCGCCAGAGTCATCCTCGCTGTCCTGGCCTGTCTCCAGGCTGGCCGGGTCAGTCTTGGACAACTCAACTGCCAAGTCCCCAGTGCCA